ATTGTATGTGGGGTGCATGTTCTGATGCAAGTAATTAAACAGAAAACTTATCTTTCTCCCATGGATCGTGTATTCTTTTTATTATATAAAGTGTAGTGAATTAAAATTGTTATTGTCTCTTGGGTATGCCCATTTTTTTGGGTCCAGAACTTAGGTAAATATAAGTATCGTAATAACGGTCGTCGAGATCAAGGCAGTCTTGCGCAAAGTTGGAACAACCAAGGAAAAGTTTGTTTTTACTTAATCTTTGGAGGCTTTAAACATGATTATAGTATGTTCGTTTTCTTTGTTTTGGCCCAGAAGCTAGAGTGAATAAGGATAAATTGGAATGACCAAAAGAAAAGGTTGATATATTTCAGATGGAAGACACGCGCGAATGCCTTGTGTTGGAAAGTAGAAAAAGCAGTCAGTCGTTAGTCGACAGTGGAAACGAGCGTGCGCCAGTGGGGACGTCCTTTTTCCACGTGTGCTACGTCTGGAAGAAAGAAGAAGAAAGAGGAGAGAGCAAGAAAATGTATGCCTTTTTTATAGACTTTACCAGCGCCGCCTAACGGCGTTTGATGAAGCCATATGGGATACTTTTATTTCCGGTTCTTTAGCTCTTAGCATCATGGGAAAATGTATTTCTTCTTCTTCTTCTTCTTCTTCTTATTATTATTATTATTATTATTATTATTATTTAATTTATTGGTTTTATTTTATTTTCCCAAAAGTGAAAGAATGAGTGAAGTGTCTTCTCTAAGCCATTTGTATGAGTCTTAGAAGTGATGAGTTTTGCGTCTTGCCTTATCTGCTGCACAGTATACCTCTTGGAAAGCTCCCGTTTTTTCCCATGGTCCTATTTTTTTTAAGCATGCCTAAAAGCTGAAAAGGGATTGCTGTTGCTAGCAGAGTTTTCAACCCATGCATGTCTACCGAAACCAAGTGTAGCGTTTGTTTTGCAGGTTAATTAATAATGATAGTGTATAATAAAAACAGGATAAATAATGTTACGTATAACGAAATCGGTAACATTGAGAGCAGTCTGCGAGAACAATTCAATATTAGACGACGAAACGAAAAAGCAAATCATGGACTAAAAAAAAATAACATAAATATATTAATAAAACATGTTTACAAAATTATTATTCTGCTGTTATGTTGGACCCGTGATACAGAAAAGAATAGCACTCTGTCTTTTTAACTTGTTAGACGCTAATACGCAATCTTTAGTCGAAGCTTCTGAAGTTTTAATCTACAGGGCGGTCCGAAAGTCTTATCACCCCCTACATAATATCATTTTCTATTTCAACTCCATGCGGGGATATTATTATCTGTTATATAAGAATAATGTGTCGCTGCCGACACTTGAGTTTGAACATAGATCGCCAGTGTGTAAACACAAGCGATCACATTATTGAATTAAGTAGACCATGTAACCATAGAGGAAACGCAGATATGGGAGGTAGCGCATGTCTAATGGATCTCCATTCTAGTCTATCCTCTATTACTATTCGGATCGTTATTTCTAGTCTATCCTCTATTACTATACGGATTGCTATTCTCTACTTTATTCACTATACTATTTCTCTATCCATATCACTATACTGGTTACTTGTCGAGCGAGTATTATCGAGAACGTACTATTATTGAGAGATTATTCGAAGGCGTCTGACACCAGCATTGTTCAATGGCGTATTATAGTTGTATCTGCGATTACAAAGTCTCTACTACAACGAGCATTGCGAAAGTGACAACGAGTGTTCAGTGACATCACAAAATTATCAAAGAGAGAGTTTCACATGAACGATACCAGAATACCCATCAGTTGAAGGACGCCGTTCAGAGAACCTTTGCAAGAATCAACAAAATACAGCTTCGTAAAATAACACACAGGACATGGCGCCGCATTAATTTTGTGCCACGAAAATAATGGTGTTCATACAGACCTTCTCGATGTGGAACAGCGTCAATGAAAGTGAACAAATCTGAATCCAGTCCATGTGCTTTGTATTACTGTATTACTTGTTCTTCTATTGTTCTCATTACTTTTTGGTAATGCTAGTGACAAAACTTTCGGACCACCCTGTACTTTTATGAAGCTAATATATTTGTGTGTTTTACGAGAGGTAAAAGGTGTGTTCTCACTCTGGTGGTCGATGCCGAAAGAGGACGACGCTTTTAAAAATCGCTTTGCTTATAAGTAAAACAGGAGTTGTAATCACACACTGTCCATCCTTGTTGAAAAACTGGTGTTCGCTGGTGATGCTGCAGTAAATTACCAGTGTGTTACGAGAAGTAGAAAAAAATAACACCCAACAATCTTCTACACACTCTGTCGCATCATTCATTTATATATATATATATATATATATATATATATATATATATATATATATATATATATATATATATAATTCTCAAAATGTCTGTGTATGTATGTGTGTGTGTGTGCGTGATCGGATGTTGTTTATGTGTTTCCACAGTTTTCATCCGATTTCGATGAATTTTTTTTTTTTTTTTGATAGATAATTCTTCAGTGCCGGTTTTGAGATCAAATTGGCTGGAAAAAATTACAACCTTGAAGGTGAAAAATCAAAAAAACTGATTTTTTATACTTTGCGCAAAAATCAAAGGCAAAATTTAATGTCTAGAAAAAACAGCGTACAATCAATTTAGAGAGTTGAAATCTAACGCAAAAGATTATTAGAATTATAACAAAAAATTATATTATAAATAAAAATTGTCGTATATTATTATTATGACGGTTCATGGAAGAGGTTCCTTCCTTGAAAGATTGAGAACGCAAAAACGGCTCTTTTCAGGGCCACCCACCCATTCAAATTGTTAACCCCCCCTATTTGGGGATGTGTCTTAGTTGCACCCAATTGTTGTTACTAATATTAATTTTCAGGTGGTCTGACTTAAATTTTCATTTATTAATTGTATTCTAATACTTAACGGTTATATTTAGTGGATTGGTGTAGTTGAGTAGATGCTCTGTTTATTTGCTAAACAGTATATTTATTTGTCGTCTATCGGGGTGAATATTTTGAGAAATCCTATTAGAAAAATATGCACTCTCCAGCAGGATTCGAACCTGCATTCTTCTAGATATAATGACGGTTTCCCCTAGGGAACGCAGGTTCGAATTCTGCCGAAGAGCTTATATTTTCCTAATAAAATTTCTCTAATATTCAGGCCGCCAGATGATGATAAGTAAATATACTGTTTAAAAAATAAACAGACCTTCTACTCTAATATTTGCATCACAGATATATTTGCGCAATATGGTGACATGTTTTGTTTAAAACAGGGCATAATCTTATAGGTGGGGCGCAAACAAAAATACCTTCAGGTTGGGTAACCCAGTTTACTCAGTCATTGATTGACGGTGCCCCACGTATCGGGATGTGACTTCGCTAACTGATCCTTACCCACACCTTTACACACACCTTGGCATGATGCTCCTTTACTATTCCCTTTCATGAACTAAAATGCACAGTGGATCTACCTCTGGGAGATCTGCTCAACTATTATTAGTAGTAGTAATAGTAGTAGTAGTAGCAGGGTCCGAATAAAAATGACGTGACTAATTGAGGAATCAGAGAGCCGAGTTCAAATTCCAGTCAAATCCATTACATTCACTTACGTTCTAGTACCCTTGGGAAAGGCATGAATCCTCTTCTCTCCCCAGCTATAGGTAAATAGCAGGATAAACTGGGTTCTATAGTCTTGGATGGTAACTGGTCTACCGCAGAAAGAAATGACAACCTATTTTAGGATATGCAGCTGTTGTGATGGTTAGAAGCTCGGGACATGAATTCAGCAAACATGGTTCGAATTCCGGTCAAAATCATTATATTCACTTTTTCACAAATATATTTGAAAATGGAATGACGACGTCTCTCCTTCTCCCCCTCCCCAGCTATGGGTAAATAGCGGGACAGACTGGGTTCTATAGCCTTGGATGGCAACTGGTCTACCGCAGAAAGAAATGACAACCTACTGCGGTAAAAAAAAGTCTACTTCGTCAGTCATGTATCGTAAGATACATGATCGCCCACGTGTATCACGCATGGCACATAACTGTCTGACTAATTTATGATTTAATGAGCTTTTTTTTTCTTTACTTCGGATCAACATATATATATATATATATATATATATATATATATATATATATATATATATATATAGTTTATGAAAAACTAAGTAATTCGTATGGGTAAACCTAAGGAGGATAAAATCCAGAGAGCTCAATGTAAATTCAGAGCAAATAATTTAAATAAAAACAGACCACTTTAAGGTTCCATGTAATAAATTATTTCACTACAGCCCTTTTAAAAGGACTGCGGATCATCAGACTTTACTTCCAAACAAAAAATGAAAAGAAAATTTACACATTTTTGACGGGCCGTATTAAACATATGTAAATTAACGAAGTGAGGAAGGAGTGAGTTAGCAGATATTGACACATTTAAACATTTATATATATTCTGAGTTAGGAGATATTGATACATTTAAACATATCCTGATCCTATATATAATAGAAATTATATTAGGAGTATTTGAATAATCATAATTAAGTAACTCAACAGAAAGCATTGGGCGGGTGTTTCGTCCTGTTTTGGGACTCATCTACTACCAAGAATCGAACCCGGACCGTAGCGACACGACGCAAGCATCACACCAACTGGACTAACGATGAATTATTTAATTATGATTATTCAAACCCCGCTAATATAATTTCTATCAGTTGTATATCCTTGCTTGAACCGGCTTCTAATACTCTGGATGGAGCGGCTTGGGTGTGAAAGACATACTCGTCGGGGCACAGTCCGTTGGACAAAGTAAACTAGGATGAGTTACACGGCGGAATTTGTGAAGAAGTTGGCAGGAAAGCACGGAGTCGGAAGGGAGTTATATAAGTGAGAAGTGTGAGAAAAGAAACTGTTAGCATAGAACTTCCGGTCACATCTACTCATTTCAATGACGCGCATCGGTCTCAGACTAATATAATGGTCGACGCGGGTGCCCACGCGCGTGACAGAACGCAAGCGACGACAACACGCCGACCAATCGCGGCCTGTGTCACATATATTAACTCTAGAATTGTCACAGTTATCCATCGCCTCCGAGGAGGATTACGGTCCCGAGGATTAGGTCCGGTTCCTGAGCCATTCGCGGTTTCGCCTGTTCTAATGCTAAAGGATGATCCAAAAAAGCAAATTACTAATCGTAGATACCAAAATCGAACAAGTACAAAAATTTAAATCTCTGGGAAGTGTTCTAACAGAGGACTGAACGTGCGATACTGAATTTCGAAGGCTCATTGGGATGGTCAAAGAGGCATTCCAAAAGCTAAGCAAAGTATTAAGACACAGGAAAACTTTGTTAGAAACAAAGAAAAGAGTACTGAACTGTTACGTGATACCTGTATCGCTATATGACAGCTAATGCTGGACAGTCTCCTCAAAGATGAAGAAGAGACTTGAAGCAACAAAAATGTGGTTCTACAGAAAGTTGCTGAGGATACCATGGACCGAACATGTGAGTAATGATGATGTTTTAGAAAAAATGGAAACAAAAAGGAAATTTATACATAACATCAGAAAGAGACAGTTGACATTTCTGGGGCACATAATGAAGAAGGAAGGCTTGGAAAATTTGATACTCACAGGACAGATGGTCAGAGGAAAACATCCTTGATGAATTTAAGTAAATGGATGGCGGAACAAGGTTTAGGTGAAATAAAAAAAAGAAAAATTTTTATTAAGCGTTACAAAGGACAGGAAGTTGTGGAGGGCCATAATAGCCTACATCCTGAGAGGACACGGTACATAATGAAGTTATTTACTGACCTTATCTTTATTTGTAAAAGACTTCCGTGACTGAGCGGTCTAAAAGCACACCGGGCTTAACGATGGTTTTCCCCGCTACAATGTGGTTCAAAGCCGTATTTTAGGATGTGCAACTGTTGTTGATGGTTAGAAGCTCGGGACATGAAATCAGCGAACATGGTTCGAGTTCCGGTCGAGATCATTATTCACTTTTTCACAAATATATTTGGAAATGGAATGACTCCATCTCTTCTCCCTCCACCTATGGGTTAAACAACAGGGCTGATTGAGGAGTGTTAGTTGTAGTTGTTCTTTTTTTTAAAAAAAAAATGTCAACCGCCGATTTAGGAACGAATTCGATTCCACTTTTTCCGTTATGCAAAATCCTATCACGAGCAGCTTATTCACACTAAAAGCGTTTTCGGAAACCTGACCCAGTATTTCACCATCACCACCACTATCACCATCACCAATGTGGTGATTCGGATGTGACCGGTAAATAACAGCGCAAACTGACGAACAGACATTCCTCTTTGTCTTTTCTCCTATGATACACCCCCTGATTCTAGTTTGACCTCGGTTTTCGGCAACCCAAACTGCACCTGTTACAAATACCAAAAAAAAAAAAAAAAAAACAACAACAACAACAAAAAAAAAAACGTAATCGACAAAGATGTTCAAGTGGTGAAGAGGTCATGGCTGAAATAAAGTAGACTGATCCTGAGGAGAGTCACATCTTCCTGTTCGTGTCTTTCACAGATAAAGACGTTTACGTTTACAGCTACTTAACATAATTCTGTCACTCTGAAAAGTGTCTTTGCATAAAGCAATGCACAGAGAGATGGGATCATAAATACGATCACGACTCCCGTAACCCATTAAGGTCCTAGGGTTGTCACACGTACTGCAGCTGCAGTAGCAGTTTTTTTTTCCTGGGCAAACTCCAGGGTGGTTTGAATTCAGAGATTTTTTCTCCTAGACCGGTCGCCAACAAAGACTATAGAACTCAGTCTGTCCTGTTATTTACCCATATCAGGGCGTAAAGTGTCCTTAGGTTTTGAATTTGTTTTTCTAGACCGGTTGCCAACCAAAGCTATAGAATGCAGTCTGTCCTGTTATTTGCCCATAGCTGGGGGTGGAAAGAGCAAACGACTGTCCTCAGGTTTTTAATTCAGTGTTGTCCTTCTCCTAGGCTGGTTGCCAACCAAAGTTATAGAACCCAGTTTATTCTGTTATTTATCGATAGCTGCGGTTGAAGGCAGCAAACGACCCTCCACGGGTTTTGGATTCAGAGTTGTCTTTCTCGTAGACCGGTTGCCAACCAAGGCTATAGGACTCAGTCTGTCCTGCTAATTGTCCATAGCTGGGGGTGGGGAGATGGATTCATATATTTCCAAGGGGATTAGTACATAATTGAATGTAATGAATTCAACTGGAATTTGGATTCGTCTCTCCGATTGCTCAGTCCGTGCTTCCTTGTGATCATAATATCCGTGGTAAAGCGTCTACTGTATGTTTTGTTAAAACCTTTGCTAGTCATATTTATTTTTTTTTTACCAGAAATACCCATAAAAGTATCACGGTTTTCTTATATGAATTTTCTGATGAATCCTAATTCTTAAGTTAATGATTGAATAAGCTCATGGCGAGTTCTACAACAATAAAATATCCGTAGAATTTCCCCTATCGTATTGCTAGATATTTGAGCTTAACAACTTTAACAAAATATTGCAATAACAATCATGAATATGAATGCTGGTCGTTATTTTAAAAGTCTTTTCATACGTATGCACAGTTGATATTATTGAACGTTAGCTTTTTTATTATTATTAATGCCTACACTATTTATTTTAATAGAAGCATTAATAATAAAAATATCAACACTGAACACGGCCACAATGTGGTGACCGTGTTTGTAAAATAAAAAAAAACATTCTCATCACTACTACTGATACATATATAACAATCTACATATTCATATATATATATATATATATATATATATATATATATATATATATATATATATATATATATATAACATTCACTCAGTTCTTATACATTTTATGACCAGAAAAAAATCACTCATATGAACACAAGAAAAATTGAATAAATCTTTTCGCAGTAAATCCTCTTTAATGAAACGTATAAAAAATAGAGATTATTGCACAAATACACAATTATATATAATTATATATATATATATATATATATATATATATATATATATATATATATATATATATATGTTACACACACACATATATATATATGTTCATAAATTTTTGTACCTGATGTGTTGGTAAACCATGTAACTCTGAGTCATAGTGTAAACGTAGGTATATATGCAATTATTAATATATACTTTATAGCTCTATTTAACTACACTGAGCACTGTTTTGTCTACACCAGTGAGTAAATAAATAGTTATTTACTCACCTATATGTGTACCAAATCACTCACATATATGGTTGGTCATATCCCTTTATTTAGTTAATTTCTATCCACTATTATTATAAAAAATGCAGTGTTTATAAAATATATCTTCGTTGCCAGAGTTAATGCTAATTCTATAAAATGGATGTGGGTTCGTGTTTTTATTATAGATGTTTTATTATAGATGGAGGATGCTTTAAAAATAGCCGTTATAAATTCCACAATATTAGATATAGAAATGATGATAACAATAACCGGAGAAAAAACAGAAATAGAAAAATTATTTGATACACACCTCCATTTAACAAAATGGTTAGCAGTAAGTTGGGACAAAATTTTCTTGCTTTAATTGGAAAATCTTTTTCAATTAAAGCAAGAAAATTTTGTATTTTTATTGAAAATCTTCTTATTAAGATTTTCAATAAAAATACGCTAAAATTAAGTTATAATTGTACTGATAACCTAGAAAGAATTCTAAAAAACATAATAATAACGTTTTAAATAAACACTTAGACCTAAATAAAAAAATAATAGTAATTCCAAAACGGAAATCAATAATATTGATAATAAAATATTCGAAAATAAAATTCATATTATTATTCGACCACTGACAACGCTTCCCTTGCATTTTTTAAGGGCTTCATTTTTGAGCCAGTACCTTCTACCTGGAAACTATGAATACCAAAAAAAAACAAGGGTGTTCCGTGTTGTGAACTCAGACATAGTCACTCATCAAATGAATCGACATTTTCCCCTTTGCCGACGTATCTTCTCCAACAAAATTAAGTACCGTATTTGTTGGCATATAAAGCGCACCTTTTTTTACTAAAAATATTTTTTTAAAAATTCCCCTGCGTCTTATATGCCATATGTAGGTTTAAAATTCGCGATAGTCGGCCGAAATTAGCTACTTGGCAACTCCTATTAGCTTAGACTTTAGAGTAACTTTCATATACTTATTGTCATTATTTAAAAGACTATTATGCAGATTAAAAGTGCCATCATTCATAATATTCATTATATTAATTTCATCACGTTTAATATTAGTACTTTGTTTCATTAAAATTATATGCAATAAATTCAGATTATATATTTGTAAAATATATTTGTTTCATTAATATTTTTCTTGCTATAACTTCCAGTTGTATTGCTATAAATACAATCAGAATTTTTATATCCTAAGACGTTTACAAGATGCAGGTTATACAGATCATATAAAGGAAAATTTTTGATTGAATTTTAATGGTAACTGTACTGTTTTGCTCAATTGTAATAATTGCTTGATTTTTATTTTGTTTTATTACCTTTAAATATTATAAAGTGTTTAGGCTTGTGTTCTTTTTTCCTATTATATATAGTGGTATTTGTGTTAAGTTCTTGGTTTAAAAAGAAATGCGGACAACATAACTAAAACATACAGAAAAGCACCAAAAACTACAAAATACGTTATTAATATGGAAGCTGAAAAAAATCGTCAAAACCTTTTTTTAAATTAATTATACGAGTGCAAGCTTTTCTGTAAATTTAAATTAGGTGCTTAGGTCAATCGCTATTTTGATCTGGACGACCGAATAAATAGCATCGCTAAATCAAAAGCATTAGACCACGAGAAGACCACAAAGAAAGTTAAGAACAAACTGTTGAAGCTTGGATAAGCATGGAATAATAATAATACAACACAAAATGTACGTAAACAAAATGTATTGAAACAAGGAAAAGGTACATAATATTTACAGTTAGTTTTGGTATATTCTTGGGAAGACTGTTCCTGTAGAATGGGTTGACTTAATCGCAGTCGGGCAGAGTCTCTGGATTGGATCTCTTCTTACTTCCTCCATCGTCTTCCCGGTACCAACCTATATTTATATGGTCGGTACTCCACTATGTAAATTAGGTGGATCGTACCACAA